GTCCAAGTGATATCCCCATTTTTCAGTATTGGCGTCTCTTAAAAAGAGCCGAGATTCATAACTAAGAAGGAAATAAAAACCGTTGTCAATAAAGCGCAGACCAAAACAACTCACCCAGTACAGAGTTTTTCGTTAAGACGTCTTAATATTAATTTTCTATTTAAACGTATGATAAACATTTTAAAAGCAAGACACAACGTTTTGAGTATTTAAGATTACAAAGTCGTAAACGTCTTTGACTTGACGATGAAAAGCATGTTTTTAACTGAAACGTTCTGTCGTGATTTTGACTTGAAATGTTTAACATCTATTCTAATGCTACGAAATTTCGTGTACGCTTATGGGCACTGTACATCAATTAAGTGTGTATGTGGCTTCCAGAAGGCGTGCACAGATATCTTCTCTAAGGTTATATTTTCTTGAACTCCAAAGTTTAAAGTCTATTTGTTCGAACAGACAAACATCCTAACTCGTCTTCGTATAAAATAAAAATACTTATCATTCGATGCATTTTTTCTTTCATTTCATTGGCTGAGAGCCCACCACGTGACCTGTAAATAACTGCCTACAAATAATAATCTGCTGATGCGTAATTGTAACCGGTCTCTCTTGTGAAAAATGGCGAATCGCTTCCTTGAGTTGTCAGAGAGTGCTTTAAAAAATAATATGAAAAGTAACTTGGTCATCGAATGATAAAACAATTATTGAACTCGATTATCGCAAAGTATCGTGATTATTCAGTGTCTCGCAGATCAATTATTTGCCTCAGCCTTCGCCTTTGGCAAATAATTCATCTGCTCACCACTGGCAAACCACGATATTTTGCGATAACCAAGTTTAATAATTGTTGATTGATTGTCTGTTTCTTTTATTGTTTTTTGTTTTTTTTGTTTTTTTTCTATTTTCCACAGCGTATGCCGTAGTTTACGGGCCTCGCAAGACGTCTGGACCAGTCGCAACGGGAGTTGTCGGAGTCGTGGCCTACTACATTCCAAGCATCGACAAAACACTTGCTGTGATGTTCTCTGTTCCGTTTGATTATAACTTTTACCAAAACTGGTGGAATGCTAAGCTGTACCCTGGAAACCAAAGGGCCAACTATGATCAGTACTACGATTTGTATTATGACGCAAACCCCTTCAAGGCAAATGGTTGGCATGAAAGATCCCTCGGTTCTGGTCTGAAATTTCGTGGTTCTATGTCCAACTCTGGTAAAGCTACCTTGGAGATTCATGTCCTTAAAGAATGAGCAACTGGCATGTAAATCAAGCATGCTTGCACAACTTGCTCGCATAGCCGATGTTAAGGAGTAACAAGCCGTATTTTGAAGTAACTTTAGTGAGAGGCTGATGTTTAGCACGGTAACCACTGACCGAGTGTATGAACGACTTGTAAGTGAAAATCTGTGGGACTTAGTATTGAAGAGTTGAAATGACAAATAAACGTGTGGGAGAAAAGAAACTGTTTCATTGTTTCTCACAAGTGAGCTTACACCGATAAGCTCAATGGATTTAGTCAGGGGAGCAGCTCTTTTAATGCCGATGGCTTTCTTCTTTAAACCCGTCTAAACTCTCAGTTTGCAGGAAGTTTAAACTCCAACAAAAACGCTTTTTACAACACGGAGCTAAACTATCACGAGTAGAATGGCTCCGAGCAGGATTTTTCCGAAAAACAAATTCATTGAACCAAATGCAAACTAACTTGATATATACGTATTTTTAATCTCCCTGGGCCGATGATCTGAGTGACACTTCATTGTTCATCGATACTGAAATTCACGCCAAAAACCTCTGGTTTCTTTCAACCCTAAGAATTTCTTTAGTCCCTTTGAAAGCCTTTTAAGTACTTTATGATCCGTAGTCTTAAGTCCACATGTGTGTTTTTGTTTGTTTGGTCTGTAGTTGAATCTGAAATCAAAGCTCCTTTTTCCCTCCTAACTTTTCATCAATGGGCTCACCACTCTGAACTCAGGACTCCTCGATTGTTTTAGTCTAATGACTTGTTGCAACCAAAAATATCTAGTCATCTTCACCTTACAAGCTTAGTAAATAAACGATTTATTATATGGAAAAAGAACACTATTTTCTTACGAGACACAGCGGGTTATCCCGAGCGGGAAAAAAAATTCTTGCTCTCTCGGGTAGCCAATCAAAGCGATGGATTTGATTCATCTTACCCGCACACGGAGCTAGTCATTCAATAAATGAAAATAAAGCGATCTGCCTTAGCAAGAAATATAACGGCTCCAAGTGAGCAGCCTTTCATGAGCAAAGCATTTTCCCCTCAGTGTATCAGCATATTTTAAGGCCTCTTTCTGTTTTTGCGGATTTATTTATGGATCTCGACCCATAAACACTACAATCCAGCTATTTTGACCTCGCTTTTGGTCAATAATCCGTAGATATGTACCATGGAATTTCAGTCAAGAATAGACTTATAATACATCCCACCATATACTGGACTTAGCAATTATACGTATTTGAGAAAAGAAACTGTAATTAGCTGTTTTACAAGCACAACTAGTTTTAAATTTTGGTCAGGATTTTGGTTAAGGAAGCTTTAGCTCGAATGAATCGTGCTATACACTTCTAATTTTTTCCGGCCAATGTTGAATATTATCATTTTTTCTGACGTCAGAAAAAAGGTTAAAAGCTTAAAAACTTGTGTTTATTCTTGGATTACAGCGTATGACATTTCTGTTTTCGAATGTATTTGGTGTCTGGATGTCGGGAGCCAGTCCGATATATACGCTATACGGTAACTGTTCTGTATGACTGTATTTACAAATTTTCAACGCACAGAATTATATGCTTTTCAAAATCTCAGCGTCTGGTTTATTCTTAAAATATCCTAAAAATTTCGCAAATTTCAGCCTCGATTTTCTCATTTATCATTTCTTGGACAAGTTGCGATACTTCCGGTTCGCTGGGGAACCGGAACTGTCCTTATTGTAGTGCCAGTCCTACTCGGCGAAACACTGATTGCTTTTGCGAAGCTCGCCTTCTCCACAAAGACAGTTAATCAGTTCTTTGTTCCCTGATTTTTCTCGGCTGCGGTGCGATGGGCATTTTTGAAATGTACGTGAACTTTGCAAATGGTAAAGTGAACCAGCTCAGAACGGAAGCGATTTCAATGTATCAACAAGGAACACACCTCGACCTTTCAAGGTACACATGAGTCACATGCGTAGAGCTTTGCTTATGTGCCGTAATGTGTTGTTTTCTTCTTGTGTTTAATTAAAAGAAATGGTTTTTCCTTTTTGTTTTAATGGATTTGCTTTGTTTCTGAAGTCAATGTCGGTCTTTTTTCATTGAAGAATGGTTTCAAAGATGCTTACAGATCGCCGAGCATGGTGGAGGAGATTACAAGCAAATGGGTCGCAGGACAAAGAAATCGATCAACTAACAAGAACTGCCAAGTGAGTGCAAACATTATGCACTAATAATTCTACGTACTCGCCCTCCTCCATAACACCCCGGGAATTAGTATTTTGAGCCCGACAAATGGCGAGCAATCTCATCCCCGTGGATAATGTTTACATAAACATCCCGGTTGTAAGGGGCAGGGGGGTGGGGGTGGGGGTGGGGATGGGCAATAAACGGGACGGCTATTTTTGGTATGCTGTAGAACATTTGTTCATTGCTGCTAGTTAAGATGGTTTTTTTTGGTTTGACCCCGCTGGAATTCCACTTTTATGTTATGCTTTCAAAAAGCATTACATGTGTGGATAATAATTATTATAATAGTATTCAATAATTATAATGGCATGAGAGATAATTTAAAAACAACTTTTATTTCAAGATCCTCTCTCTCTCTCTCTCTCTCTCTCTCTCTCTCTCTCTCTCTCTCTCTCTCTCTCTCTCT